TTTAACAGCTCATTTTAGCCTTTTTTTTTTTAAAAATAAAAAATTTTTTTAAAAGATTTTTTCCCCCCCCCCCCCAAAAAAAAAAAAAAGCTGCATGCTATAGGCAACATCAATAAAAAGAGAGAGCTTAGAGTGGGCTAAGGGGGTGAAGAGCTGATCAATGAGCAATTTGTTAAGTCCTGCCGCTGTAGTAATACCTCTAATTGCCTTCAATTACTTGAGGGTAACCTACTTTCGTTCTCATGTGCTGCAGTTTTGCCGATCATTAATCCTATTACCAGGACACAGATTAAGGAACAACTGGCTTTCAAACGTTTCTGATGATTTAAAGTTCGACAAGGATTTACCAAACAGCGTGCAAAAGTGAGCTTTCTAATGAAATACAGTGCATTTCAAATGCATCAAAGAAACATTTTAATTATTTTGTCCCAGAACATCTTCACTTTATTCTATGGGGGTTTTATATGATAGTCCAAAGTGCAGCATGGTTGTGATGTCAGAGGAAATTGATACTTGGCTTTGAAAATTTAAAATCCAAACAGGGTGGTGTGTATTTGTGTTAATTCACCTTTTTGACGCCTATAAATAACACAACCAGTTGCCTTTCGAAGCCAAGGAGGAGTTCAAAAGATTAACAGCTGAGGCAGGAAAATCTGTGAACTGTACAAATATTAGTTGTTACTCGTCAATCTGGACTTTGAGGAAGATTGGCAAGAACAAAGCCACAATAAGTCCTACTTTCAGTTTGTCACAATCAGTGACAAAGCAAAGACGTGAAGGAAGGTTCTCTGGTCAACTCAGACCAGCATTTACATTTTTGCATTATATGCAAAATTGTGTAAATGAGGGGGTGAAGGAAACACTCCCAGTTACCCTGAACACATCGCTATGCAGCATCACGGTGACGGGAGGCTTTTCTTCAGCAGGAAAGTTGGTTAGAGTCGAATTGTAGCTGTGTTGGTGGATAGAGGTAAACCAAAGCATTCCTGATTTTGGAGGCTGCACAAGACTTGAGACTGTGGTGGAGGTTAAATATAAAGACAGATATTTATGTGTTTGAATCCTATTGAGAATCTGTGGAAAGACTTAAAAAATCATGCTTATGGACTCCATCCAACGACAAAGCAGAATAGAAAGAAACTAATAAAGACATAGTTCAAAAGACATGCATCTGCAGTTACACCAGTTTTTCTAAAAGGTTTTGACTTAAACAGTTGATAATGGAATAAATAAATTAAAAAAAGGAGTTTCCAGTGATGACAAAGAGAAATCTGTGATTTTCACTCGAACAGAACTTTATTAATACTTGCAAGAATCAAAATCTGTTCAGTTTGATCTGCTCTAATCAGACAGAGAGTCACTGCAGTCTCTACTTGGGTTATCGCAGAGTTTCTCACAGGGAGTACGGGAACCAGCGTTTCTGGCTCGGTATCTGGATGTTAACAAAGACATCTGAAACCTTGAAAATGGAGGAGCGCTTCATTCTTATCTAAACCCTCCCCAAGTTCCAGTAGGGCGAAAACACAATAGGCCTCACATAAATGTTGCTGTTGCTGAAAAGAAGGTTAATATTTTTTCCCCAGATTATACAAAGTATTCAAAGAAGCTATTCTCTAAGATTCCACTAGCAAAACGCTACAAGTTTTAGATTTTATTTGTAACAGATATTCAAATGTGGACTAAGAAATGGCTTAAAGGCTGTGAATATTTTTATAATGTTCTCTAGATTTAACCCAGTGAGCTTACCTGATGTCACCTGCATTCACGCTGCTTGTTGAATTAAGTCAAAAATATAATATTCTTAACATCCTGAAATATGGGGTAGCAAAATTTTCCACAAAATAATATTTATGAGATATACTGAAATATATATATATATATATATATATATATATATATATATATATATATATATTCAGTTGGTCTGCTGTATAAAGTTTCAATGAAATAAATACTAGTTTCTCGTTGTAATGTTATTAAAAAGGACCCTTTATTTGTTAATATTATTTGAGTCTGATGTCTCCCAGCACAGTATGATTCAGTTTAAGTGAAACAAGTGTTTACATAAGACATGGTAACCTTTCAAAGTAAATAAACAAGAAACATTTTTAGGTCATTTTTGGACCAGAGAACCTTTTTAGTTGGGTTAAGATGAAAGTCCAGAGGTGGCTGCTTTCAGCTCCCATCTAAAAACCAGGACCTGCTCTCAGTCTGGAGCAGATGTCACATGGTCTCAGATTAGACCTTCCTGGAATTATTACATTGCACGTTTATGATCTGATTGTTGTTTTCTTTTTTTATTAGAAACTGAAATTAAGAAGGTTTTTAATAGCAGTAAAATAAAAATGTCTTCTGTAAGTTAGAAATCTGACAGTTTATGAAAGTCAGACACCTCAGAATTAAGTTTAAAGCTACTCGATAATATCTTACTGATCCATATTGATGAAATACGACCAGTGTTCCTGAGTCTGCACCATGTGATTCAGTCCTAATCTGAGCCAAATGCATTCCAAACAGAGCGGAGGTAATAAAACTAATCGTAAATGACCGGCACTGCACACTCAGAGAAATACTCACGCAGCCACAGTGATCCAAGACACAGCAGCAGGACCAAGATAGCAGCGGCCGCCTTGCGCTTCACACCCATCCTGACGTTCAGTCTGCGGCCCGCCAGTCTGCCTCTGTTGCTTTTTCTCTGCCCTTTACCTTTTAATTCCTCTGTGTTTCACATGAGGGCTCGGGTCCTTTCACTGGCTGCCACCGGACCCCGTCCTCTGACCCCCCCCTTGTCCTCTGAAACCGATCATGCTCTTCCTCAAAACTTCAAAAGAAAACATTTCTCAGACGTCATTGCATTTCCAAAACCTGTATGCATGCTCCTGTCAGTTATCCCTGCATTTTTAAGCTGCTGTTTTCCCTCTGTTGTTTTTCTCTCTTTTTTTTTTATCATTATTCAGCTGCCGGTCTCCTGGTGAGTTGCTCAATCTGAGAGTCCAGAGATCAGCCGGGAGCAGCCTGTGGCTGATAAAGTACAGCCAACTCAGCTTATCCGACAGTGACCTCTCTCTTCCGGATTCATCTAATGTGTGAGCTCAATATTCCTGGTGAGCAGAGAAATGCTCGCTCCTTCGCTTCTCCTCCCACCACTACGCTCCCTCCCCCTCATCCCCTCTCCTCCACTCCTTTTTCTCCCTTGTCACATCAAAACTCATTTACACACACCGCAGGGAGGGCCACAATGACCCTAACACACACAAGCAAAGCTCCAAAACCTCTTAGTTTATGCAAATACTAGAGGAATAGTTAAATTATGTATTAAGGTCATGTCAGCGTAGGTTCAAAAAAGTGCAAAAGACAGACATTGAACTCCACACTCAAGCTGCACCACGTGTCCTCTCATGAAGAAGGGCTTAACAATGGCATTTTCCAGCAAAGGAGCGGGAAAAAAAGTGAAGGCAGGGCCATTCATTATGAGACTGCGGGGGCCGCTGGACACAGGCCTTTCATTCAGTGGAGCCAGTGGATGATCGGATCTGATAGTGCCTACTTTTTTAGGCACTATCCGATAAAAAAAAAAAAAAGGGGGATGAAGGGACTCATTCACCAGCTGCAGGTATTTGGCTTCACATCATTACTTTGCAACCATTGTGATGCCTCTGCAAGTGTAAACTTAAACCGAAGAGGCTGGTGTGCAGAACCTTCACTGGTGTGTTCACTGAAACATTATAAAAAGATAAATAGATCCATATATTTACAACTGAGGTCTTCCTATCTGTTCTTTTTGCAATAAATCCCTTATCTAACACGTGACGCTACAAATTACCCTCAGTAGCCACATTATTACTTTGGTTAAGTCATGCATGCATAGACTTGGAAACTCTATTACATGTTGTCTTGAAACAATTATTATTCTCACAACAAAAAATTGTTTCACGTTTGACTCATTTCAAAACTTTAATGCGTTTTATTTGGCTTTATTGGTGAAGAAATAAAGGATGGCCAGTTAACACTGTTGCCTTTGCAGCAATAAAGTTCCCTGTTTGACTCTCGCCTGTAGCGGTCAGATTCTGCATGTTTTCTCCGTACATTTGTGGGTTCTCCAGCGTATCGTAGCTTCCTCCAACAGTCAAATAAAAGAAAATATGAATGCTAGGTTAACTGGCTTCTCTGGATTGTCCTTAGGAGGGAGTATGTGTGTGGGCATGGTTGTTTCTGGTGCGATCCATCTGTGTTGCCCTGTTAGACACCGCTGAATTGTAGGGTCAGGATTAGGGTTGCATGCAATATGTCTGACCTGTAGCTATATTACAAAGATGAATGAGCAAAATATGGGGGATGCAGATGCTCAGAGCTTGTAGAGATATACCCCAACAGAGGTGGTTCTGCAAATGTTGACTCAGTGCAGCCTTTCATAATTCATAATTTATAAACGTTTGTTTCACGTTGAACAACCTTAAACAAACGACGTCACCATGTCACAAACTGCAAATCGTTGCTTATCTAACAAAAGCTGGGTTGGAAGTGAGGAAACAAAGTGAGAAAAACTAGTCTGACTAGTGTGCTGTTTTCACTGGAGTTAGAAAGGAAAGTAGCCACCAAATCATGACTTATTTTCAAATGAGCGGCTTGCAAAATCGTCTAATAGGCACAGCATTTTAATGGCCCTTCAAATCTGGGTTTTCCCTACAACCTTTGAAGCGCTGATAAGGAGAAGAGGCTGTTGCTATCTGCACTGTGTACTTTACTTTATTCGCTAGCGCTTGTGGGATAAATGTGCAGAGATCAGCTGCAAAATTACTAATTTATTGAAAGTAAAATATGTGAACAAAATTGTTGTTTGGTTTTTGATTCTGTATCTGAATCAGTGTCTCATTACTCTCTTGCAGATTTATTTCTCTAAAGTGTTTACACTTTTTTTTATCATTTCCTTTTCGTCCTAAAAATATTCATCCCATTTTTTTATTGTATAATGTTTTTTTTTTTTTTTTTTTCCTGTCTGTGTGTCATATCTCAGTGGTTTTATTTGCTTCCACAACACTTTGTGTGGTTTATGAAAGGCAGTTCAGTAAGAGATGGACACGGCTGCAGTCGATGACCATCGCTGAAAACTTATTTTGTACTTTTTTGATATTTTCCTGGATGTAAACATAAGCTCTTTCTAAACGTGAAGTCGGACTGCTCTAGACCTGCGTCTGAGTTGTAAGTGTGAGACACTCACACCCTCTCTAAGCTCTAGTTACTGGAAAGAAGCCCATCTCTGTTTTCCTTGCTGTATATTTAGAAGTACGTCACATTCTGAGCAACTCACATGGCACATTCCAGATTTCCCACTGTTGCCCTTCGCCCTGAATAAAGACATTATCTTTGCAAAAATTATAACAGTGAAGTATGTCAGTTATATTTTGACTGCCATCTTGAAGTGAGCTGCAGAAAACATAAAAGTTAGCTGACTTATCTTGATGCCGATCAGAGACTCGGTCTGATTAATTTTTCTAAGCAGTGTCTCCTATTAACACTGGTAATCCACAGTCTCTGTCTTGCTGCAGGACTCCTGCAGTGGAAGTGGTATGAGTCTGCAGTATGTATTAATACCCAGCATTCATAACAGAGGGGGGGCAGATGGGGGGGGGGTGGGCAGGCCCACACATCCAGTCACCTGTTCTCCTTGCGACCCCAGTGGGCGTCTGTGAATCCGAGCCTCTTCGTTAGTCTCACACAAAAACAGTTAAAATCAAATCCCCGCCGCCAATCAAACTGGACATGTGCACATCGACAGGAAGCAGTTCCAGAAAATAAACCGCACAGGATGGACGGGTTGCATTGCTGCAGTTGTTAAATGATCTTGATGATTATTGTGGATGGCTGGAGTGTGACTTGAAGTCCTGGTTTAGTGCCTCCAGCTGCTGTGTAACCCGAGCCTCGGATGGACCGACAGCGGGGCTGGACAACAGTCGGGGTGTTTGATAGGGGGGGATTTAAGGCTCTTCCCCTTCGGTCTTTACTCTCACACTCTTTCTCCTCCTCACACTTTATATTTAAACATAGTCAAGTGGAATGCATTAGGGGGATTCAGGGGACATAATGGCTCTGCGCTGTTTAGGGATATTTTTCGTATTTCTCGCTGCTCTGGGGACTCTGACGAGCCTGGGTAAGTGGTGTGTTTGCAAACTTTTGGTTGATCTTCAGGGACTGGCATGCTGCGCAGTTGTGATGCTATATGTGGACAGACGATCAGTGTTCAAGGATGAGCAACTCCAAAGGTCTTCCTTTTAGCGATTTTGTTGCGCTTACTAGGACTTTTCTGTTTTTAAAACTGAATTTAATTTCCAAAGGGTCATTTTAAGTATAATTTTTAATTTGTTTGTAAAGTTTAAATGAAAAACATCACAGTAGGAATAATGCGAGAGTAGGAAAAAGGAACAGAGAAACCTGTAACAGATGTGTGGGAACATTAGCAAAATGAAGGATTGCTATTCTTCTTCATTTTTGAACGATCCTGATGTTGAATTCAGATATTTAAAGCTGGGGGGCCAGTGGTGGGGTGGTTGTGCAGGATCGTTGATCCTATCGGCAGCAACACACAACTCATCGTGCTGAAAACAGTCAAGGCCCCAACATGCAGGATCCCAAGGTAGATTATGATTCAAAGTGATGTTTTTCATTGAATTCTGCTTTGAGTTTTTTTTACCCTGTACAAATAGGAATGTTAGGATTGTTGATCTGTCGGTTTTGTTATTTTTTATAAATTATTGTCAGACGATGATAACTAGGGCAAATACAAAAAGCAGTTTTAAAATTCTGCTTTCAGTTAAGGGTTAATAATTACCTAAGTTACCCTGGCCCCTTGTGAAAAAGTGCTTGACTCTTAGTGAATTTACTGCAGTTAACCACATTATGTTTTTTAAAGCTTGACTAATTTTCCCAAGTAAGTACTGTCTGATGTAAAGAATTTCTTTGGCAACATGAAATAGGCTAAAAGATCTCGGAAAACAACACATCCTGTCAAAATCTAAAGTCTGTCAGTCTGGAAGAGTTTGTGAACCATGTTTAAATCTACTGTGAGAGCCACAAATGGAAATTGCAGAGAAGAATCCAAATTACATATCACATACTACAACTCATCCATGAGATTATAAAAGAACCCAGAACGACATCTGAAGCATCACAGTCTTCGCTTGTCTCAGTTAAGGTCAGAGTTCATCAATAAGAAATATGGACAAAAACTGCATCCATGGGAAAACTCCAAGGGAAATGAATGCTGGCAAAAAAAAAAAGACAAATACTTCACTTGTATTTGCTAAACATTTTCGATTCTTTTCAAGACTTTTTGGAAAAGAGCATTTGGATTGACAGGATAAAAGGGAAACTTTTTCAAAAGGTGTTTGTCATTTTACATCAGATGTAAAACTAAAGACATTTCAGGAAATGAATAATGACAGATCAACACAGTGGAGTTAATGTGACGACGGTTTGTTATAATTGATGGAAACATGAATTCTGCTCTTTAGAATAAAATCCTCCAGTTTAACACTGATATCTGGTAAAGATATAATAACTGTAACAGGAAACTATTTCTGGTTGGTTTGGATTGAGCGTGCTTTTTCTGTTTACACTAGTTGTCTATTTAAAATGTCTGGGTATGGAAAAAAAAAACATAAACTATCTGAATGTTTCATAACCCACTATATTTTTTTTCTGACAATCATTTAAAGACGACAAGAAATGTCTGTATAATTTTCAGATTAGGATTTACTCATCACTAAAATGAGTTCACTTCAGTCGAGGAATATATGAAAACTAACATGGAGCTAATTATTAAAATAATCATTCAACCTATTTAAAATGATCTGAAACACAAGATAAAACAAGGGTAATAATACAGATAACTGTAAGTAATGTTTTAGAAATACATTTTTAAAAATGACATTCGCAAAATAATTAAAGATGATTAATCAAACATTTACCGACCACGGATATGTGTTTTAAATCTTAAATTACTAATGTTTTAAAATTAGTATTTACTACTGCCGTTTGTGGTCAAATTGTTGGTATTTCTAATGTCTATTTCAGTTATTTCTGTTTACTTGTCGCGTCTTACCTGCTGCTGCCTTCTTGCCCAGGTCAACCTTATGAAAGAGTTCCTGATTTTATTTGCTTAAACATAGATTAATAAAACAAAAACAACTAGTCTTTCAGGATTTTACAGAAAGGATTTCGCATGCTTTATTTCTATTCCGTATTTGACACTCACAAATACAAAAAGCAAAACAGAAATACAGCCCAATGATGTTTTATTAAAACCAGCTGCATGTGGATGCTGGATGCATTATTGCACTCCGGATGTGTTTCCTAAGACATGATGTTCTGTTGGGGCAGTTTAGAAAGAAAGAAATCTGAATCAGTGAACAGCCTTTTGATCCACCGGCTCTTTTGTTTGACCTTGGGAAGAAAGCAGTTTTCATGTGAAAGGCCACATCTGGTGTGTTCCTGCACACTAGAGTTTTCTGAAATATGTCCCAAATGTTTTAGAAAACATTGTTGAGGTTTTTGAACTCTAAAAAGTTGCACATCACAGGTGACGCCAGCAATGTCACACATCTAAATATATCTTTACTGAAATAACAACTCCTTAAATCTTTTAAAGATATGCTCCTAAATGAGGATGACAAATCAAAGCAGGGCAGGTAGAGATACGAATGAGTAATTATTATTATTATTTTTTTTTTGTATTTCAGAATTTTGGTTTGCACTTTTTAACCTGGTCAGAATTGCGTCATGCATTGCAAATGCATTTTTATACATTGTCATTGACCTGAATGTATTTCTCTGTGCTGTTTGCCAGCGATCAGCTCGGCACAACAAGTCAGTTATTTACAAAGCTGAAACCGTGGTGATGTAATATTTACCTGTACGGTCATGTTGCTCTGACACAAGATGCTGTCTGTCTTCATGTCACAATGCATAAAAGATCCTGTTGCAAGTTTTGTTTGTCAAAGTTTTGATGCACCCTCCTGCCATCCTCTGTTCTTTTCTCTACGCTTACCTTCGAGATGATTTAGGTATCGGCTGCAGGAAGTGAAGAGAGGTCAAAGCACTGACATTAAATACTAACTAAATCTTGTATGCACTTGAGTTGATTGAGTGAGCTGTATTTAGAAGATAAGTACATACTGTTCAGCTCAAATAGCCCTGCGCTGAAGTCAACAGCATTGTTTCAAACGGATGTGCAGTGCAATGTTATTTCTATTTCTGCAGATCAAACCGAATTCACAGATTTCTGTTCTTTAGCTTATTTTTTACTTTTATTAAGAGGCGCTCAGAGACTGCTGCACTATTCAGATGTTCACACTTTGACTATGTTCGTCCCTGAATGCATCTTATATGAAGCTCGACTGTATTTAATGATTAAAAAAAATGAAACAGCTGTCAACGCTGTCATTACAGAGCGGCAGCTATGCAAACTGTCCCATGGGTAGATTAAATATTTGCGCCTGGCAGGAGCAGCCAGGCTGCCGGTTCACAAGGGAGAACATGATTCCATGTTTTGTAGTGTGTAACTTTGACCTTTCGTTGCAAAACGTGAAAACTAATTCTAGTGCTTATGAGCCAAGCCCGATTTAAAGCGCAGATTTAGGGTTGCTAAGGATAGTGAAAATTATGTGTTTGTGCATATGGCATCAAACACTTGGAAGGCACAGATGTACAACGAGGTTAAAGTTATAAATTAAATTTAGCAGATTGATTTCATGTTTATTGAATACGTCATGTTTGTCGGAGAAAATTCCCCTGGTGTCTCTCTTTACGTCCTGCGTTTCATTCCTACAGTGGTGTGTAATGAGGAGTCCAAGCTGATCTACGACTTGTTCAAAAACTACAACAAGAACATTCGTCCAGCAGTTGAACCTCGGGAGAAAGTGCAGGTCATGATCAAGCTGACTCTGACGAACCTTATCTCACTGGTAAGAGCTGCAAGCTGTCATTTATTGAAGAAAAAACAACAACAACACACAAATAAAAGATAAGAGCAAACTCCATTGCAAAAAGACTTCCACTTCCCAATCACAGACTTCACTGGATTTGAATGAAGTTTTATGTGAAAGATCAACATAAGGTTACCGTGAATATATATTTTTTTAAATAAATCTAAAAAAGTGTGTTTTCATATTCACATGAAATCAAGTCAACTGCTTCACCAGGACAATAAATACTCCTGTTCTTGTGAGGTTTCTTAGGGAACATCAGTGAACAAACAGCTTCAGGAACATTTTGGGAGTATGTTTGCTCATGTTCTTGCCCAGTCAAAGTTCAGACCTAAATTCTGTTGGAAAATTTGCTGCAAGCCTTGAAATTGTGTCCACAAATGCTCTCCGTCTCATTTGACTGAGCTTTAGACATTTAGTGATGTCTGTTAGAAACCATTTGTCGCTGCAGCAAAATGGGGACTTCACAGCAAACCGCAAAGAGTTAAAACCTTCGGTCTGTCTTTCCGGTATTCACTACTTTGTGTTGGTCCAAAATCAAGCTAAGACATGACAAATTGTGAAAACAAATAGTTCTACAAGATTTACCTCTCTGATCAGCGTTTTAGCACAGTATTGGTTCTATTTAAAGACAACAGATGTTCAGTGCTTTCCTTTTTCTGCTCCTCTCCCCAAATTTTCAGAATGAAAAGGAAGAGACTCTAACAACCAATGTATGGATTGAAATCGTAAGTTTGCTCTCTTTTCATTTGTAGCTTGAGTTACCGGAAGCAACATGTCTCTTTTTTTTTCTCTCTTGTTTGACTCCAGCCGTGTCTGTTTTTTAACGTCACTGGTGACCTTTCTCTCAAATGTCATCAACAGCAATGGTCTGATTATCGCCTTGCCTGGAACGAGAGCAATTATCACGGCATTCAAGTTATCCGCGTCCCGTACAACACGGTTTGGCTTCCTGACATAGTCCTTGAGAACAAGTGAGGGCTTCACAAAAAATGTGTCAAATTCTGCATATTTTCTCCTGCTGCAGAGCAAGAATGCAGCCTCAGGTCAGCGTTGTTTCCAGTTTCTCTTCTTCTTGTGCAGCATTGACGGCCAGTTTGATGTGGCTTACTACGCAAATGTCCTGATCAACAGTAATGGCTGGATGTACTGGTTGCCCCCTGCTATCTATCGTAGCACCTGTGCAATTGAAATTACTTACTTCCCATTTGACTATCAAAACTGCACACTGGTGTTCAGGTAAAAAATAAAATAAAGCACAGAATCCACGACTTTCACTGCATTATAACTGTCTTTCTTCTTCTTTTCTCTTGTCAAAAACCCAAACAAGATCCCAAACATACAGTTACAACGAACTGGACTTGATCTTGGCTACTGAAGATGATGAAATATTTGAATGGGTGCATATCGACCCAGCTGCTTTTACAGGTACACAACATCCATTCTGTCAGCGTCCTGACATTCAAACTCTACAGGTTTACCCCGACTGTTTCTGTGTCGCCATAACAGAGAATGGCGAGTGGGCCATTGTCCACCGACCTGCCAGGAAGATGATCAACTCGAGGTATTCCCCCGACGACCTGGAGTATCAGGAGATCGTGTTCAACCTGGTGATTCAGAGGAAGCCCCTGTTCTATATCATCAACATCATCCTGCCCTGCTCTCTCATCTCCTCGCTGGTTGTACTGGCCTACTTCCTTCCTGCTCAAGGCCAGTGCGAATTGTTATTATCAACAGCCCTTAAAAACAAAAAACAGAACAGAAAATTGGTGGGTAGTTGTCCAGGGCAGCATTAGAAAGGGGGCGGATGAGAATCATATCAAAAATAGAACTCATCCATCTAATTTAGTTTCCTCCTAAATTAGTTTGTCATTGTTTTTAATAGATGTGAACACATAGGGGAGTTGGGCTTAATGTTGTAAATATGGAGATCTTGTTATGTTTGATGCTAATCTCATAATGCCCAAATCAAGTGACGCGAAAGTTATTCTATATTACCTTCTTTTCTTAGCTGGAGTGGCTGATTATGTAGTATTATATTAATTAATAGTTTGTGAGTCTTAATGTCCTCCATCTTAATTTGACAGCAAAATAATAAACATTCCAAAATGTTGCTGCCCTCTATGTGTTGCTATTATTGTCCAATGATTATATTTTTAGATGGGTTTTTTTGCCATTTCCTTCCAGCTGGCGGACAAAAACTGACTGTCTCCATTTCTGTGTTGCTGGCTCAGACTGTCTTCCTGTTTCTGATTGCTCAAAAGATCCCTGAGACATCGCTGTCTGTCCCTCTGATTGGAAAGTGAGTCATCTGCAGTCTCTCCTGCTGGTTACGTTTTACGCTCTAATCCAGGGGTCCCCAAACTTTTTCCTGCGAGGGCCACATAACTGTTCCCTTTTCTGGTCGGGGGCCGGTCTTAGTTTTTCGAGAAAGAAACCTTAGAAAACTTTTGTTGACGGGGGGTGGGGGGGGGGGGGGGGGGGCGGAGGGGGAGGGCGGGATTTTTGCAGACGGC